CAAGATCTTGTACTTATCTCATTGATCTTGTCATCTAATTTTTCCCTGGCTAACTACAATTTAGCGTTATGATCATTCTTTGTCAAATTTTAATTTTGGTCACGATGAACACATTATTTAAAGCATAAATCAGAAATGGTTGTTCTTACTTAGTTTGATCTTCAATCTTTTGCAACCAATTTATTGTTACGTATAGTTGGCACTTGGCAGTCTTGGCACTATGAAGCTAGTCAGCTAGATTATGCTAAGTTATTTAGCATCAGTGCAGCAATGTTTTGATTTTTTAGAGGGAAGTCTTTGTTTTTGATTCATGTCATTTTTTTTTTTGTTGGTAGTTATTTGGTAAACTCCTTGAACCTTTTGTTATCTCCTTATATACAGAGAAAATGGGAGTTTTTGGTAACAAGGTTAGGGTTTGACTATATATTAGATGGGATAATGCAAGAGGGAAGGGGGAATGGCCGGTTAAGTTAATGGAATGTCATGCTGTAAAATTGGTCAACGTAAACTAGTAAAGGGCATCATAAATATAAATGAAAGAGCATTACCCTGTTAAAATTCAGGCTAGCTGAGAGCTTTTTGGAGCATGAATGTTTTTTCATGGTGACAGTATATATAAACAGTCCTTTTTTTTTTTTTTTGGCTAGATATGAGCAATACATGACTGTACATCATAAGCTTAATTAGTAGAAGGTTGTTCATAATGGTTAATGAAAGCTTACTTATCCATGTATATGACTTTGTTAGGAATGGAGACATGTAGAATATTAAATTGGTGGTGTATTTAGTAGAAGTTTGGGAAAATTTGGTGTATTTGAAACTTAAACCTTTCATGAATGTATAGTTATTTCTTTGCCTAAGCTGAACATAACAGTGCTAGAATGGGACATTTTACAAATAAACATGTTAACAATGCTGCCATTGATGGTTCTTGTCTTTAGACCATGACATCATGTTATCTTTTCTAATTAGGATCATTGAATAGTTGACAATAGAATACAGAACAAATTGGAGAGAATGCTCCTCTTTTTTTTTTTTTTTTTTTTTTTTTTTAAAAAAAAAATTGTATGAATGAATGTACACTGAAAGTCTGAAACGAAGAAGCTACTTAAATACTTGCTTATTACAAAAACTTCTTGCTATAACTAACTTCCTGGAATCTAGGGAAGTTTGTTATTACATAATTTTGTATTTATACAAACTATCTTTCTCATATATTCTAGAATTGTTGGCAGCTCTGTCATCAACTTCTAGCTCTTCTTTTTGTTTGAGAGTGCTGTAGTATCATCGACTGCCATGTCTAATGTATTATGATCCAACATGGTTTGATCACCTATATCTTGCAAATGATCATCCTGCACATGATTTGTATGATCATTAATAGATCAACCAAGGTAAGTAGATTCTAGGGAGGACAAACGTCATGTTTGCCGCTTTTATTAGAAACTATTTCTTTGGCAGTGAAATATTGTTGCTGGACTGATGGCCAGGGCATAATTGGTTGAGCTTCACCTTGGTATTGAGACTATTGGTTTTTTTTTTTTTTATTTTATTAGTGACTCAGACTTGTGCTCATTCACAAAGCTAATTGGCTTTGGTGGTGGCCAGTGGCTACTAGTAAGTGGCGTGTTTATATGTAGCGCCAACAAGCCAAGTAGTTACCGATATGGGTTCCATTTTTGTGTATCGTTGAGCAAAGACATGTAATCATGTCTTGGCTAACCACTCGATCAATATCTGATTGGTCTTGCGTTTGGTGGTACGCTCTATCAGCCTCTTTTGGACGGACTCCACCTTGGTTGTGGCGCTGATGACTTGTGTTGTCAATTGTCATCCACCAAGCCAAGCAGTCAATTTTACCCTTGTGCAATGGTGAATACTTTGTACTCTGTAATAGGGTATGACTATTCTACAAGGGTAGATTAATCAAAGACATTGTTGACGAATAGTAAGCTGGGTAATTCAGTCATTTATCCCTGATTACTCCCTCGTGGAGCTCGAGTGAAATTCACTTATGTCCACGTTAATCAACTACCTATTCATAAATAATCAGACACGTGTCAAATATCCCTTATCCCACCAAATATAAATACTCCAATCCATCCAAACTTTTCATTTTGTCACACAAACTCAACTCACTTACCCATCCTTAGCAATGTCTTCATCAACCACCACAACACCCCTTCTCCTCCTCTTCCTCATCTCACTCTCCGTCGTCGCCACCGCCAAACCAACCGCCTACGAAGTCTTAGAGAGCTACGACTTCCCGGTCGGTCTACTCCCTAATGGAGTAACCGGCTACGAGCTCAACCCCGAAACGGGGGAGTTCAAGGCCTATTTGCCTCAAACATGTAAGTTCACCATTGAAGGATATGATCTCGAATACAAATCAACCATCACCGGGGTTATCTCGAAAGACCGTCTTACACACCTCAAGGGTATTAGTGTTAAGGTGTTGCTTCTATGGCTGAGTATCGTCGAAGTCGATAAGAAAAACGGTGAGCTTCAGTTCTCCGTCGGTATCGCCTCCGCGAACTTCCCCTCGAAGGTTTCGAGGAGTCGCCGTCTTGCGGATGTGGGTTTGATTGTGATGATGCTAATCTTGCTGTTTTGTAGGGTAAGTTAGTTTATTTTATGTACTAGTATTAGATTAAAAATGTAAGGAGAATAATAAGAAATGTATTGGATATTTGGATTAACTTTCCACTTATTCTAGTTATAAAGAACATTTTTAATAATCATAATTATATATGATGAATGATTCCCTAATTTCTTTTTTGATAAAGTAAGTTAGACTTTCTTTGATGATGCAAAAAGTTCTTTTTTTAGGATTTGTAATAACAAATGATATGTAAAGGGATGAAGCATTGTTTTTCCTTTATGAGATACATTTACATGTTTGGTATGTACTTTATTTTATCTTTCAAAAAGTTGATAAATAAAATGGTAAATGAACACGATTATTTGAAGCCCTATTAGAAAAGTTCCAAGTCATATAGTATAATAGCATTATCGATGATCCGCCGGGTTAAACCATCAGACTCGACTAAGAAAACCATGCCAGAGACTCCTCCTAGTAAGCATCCCCGGAATCCAGGGAGGTGCTCTTGAAGGCATGGCGGGTTCCAAGCTACACCCCTCTCTGCTATCAAATCATAGATCTTCCAGGGAAGACCTAATACCACACAACTTCTTGATCGATATGTTACAATTAGGAAATATTTCGTATAATTATATAGTGTCACAATAACTTATTGTGAGATAAATGTGATGACTTTTCGATTGAAGCTCTTATTACGGAGTATTTAGAAGAATTACTACGAACTTGTGATACCATCTCAAGATCGATTGATCGACTTGCTCTATTATTGTTTAGTATTCCGTCATCTAGTATGCCGTGAGTACGAACTAGATTTAAAGTTGTTGCTAACTTTAATGCGAAGGCGTGTTTCACGTGGGAATTTCCGCAAGTTCTACAACATGTGAATTGATGACATGAATCATGAGGTTCAAGATATGTGTTATGTTATCCATTTATCCTTATACGTAGTATGTAGGACAATAGTTCAAAATTATGTAGAAACTTTAAGTTCTACACTTCTACCCTCCCTTCAATCAAATTTTTAGTTTGTGAGATTAGTGGTTCAATGTTGAATACTAAGTATTATATTTTACCTCTGTTACACATTATTTGCAACGATTTGACATAAAGTAGAGAGGGAAAATGTCTAATCGTTGCAAATAATATGTAACGGAGGTAGTATTTGAACTTGTGCTATACATGAGTCATTGAGTGTGATGGAGATGGAGGAATGATGGAATAAATTGATCTAGTTACTTGAGTACAAGGGGAACAAAAAAGCTTTGAGAATAAATGTTGATTCTCCTTTACTTTGTGGTCTTTAAACTTTGGGTGTGAGACAATTGTGAGATACATGAGAATTGGTTTATCAAAGATATATATGTTAAAATCATAAAAAAAGTATTATAAAGCAAGTAATAAAAGACGAACAGAGTATAAGAGCATCTCTAATTGCAGGTTAAATTTTAATTATCTTGTCATGTCACATGAGATGTAAGCTACTTTTCATTATTAGTTTGAATCCCAATAGTTTAGCTAATAAGGAGTAGCTTGTTATATAAAGGGTTGATTACCAAGATGTTTCCTCCTTTTACCAAGTTATTGTCAGCCATATAGCTCACCAAGCAAATTTGTCATTTTAGCTACATTATTCAAAGTGAAAAGTGGAAACTTCTTTTTTTGAAAAAGAAAAGTGGAAACTTCTAACTATCATGTATTTGGTATAAAATATATATTGAGATGGTTCAAATAAGATCTGACATGAGTATGTTTTATCATAGCAATAAACACAAAACAAAGTCAAAGTGTAGTTTGTAAATAATGTAAATGACTCGTGGTAAAAGTCAAACGGTGTCAACTAAAAAAGAAGAATATCTCAAGTAACTCGTTACCAGCCATTAGATGGCGACATGCTCTTATAGCTAAACAATATTTTAGATTCGAAATAATTCTTATTACTCCTTAATATTTTACCAATATGGCAACAAGATCAGTTTTTTATTTTTTGATAAGAGCAACAAAATCATTTATCATCTTTCATAATCGATAATTTCAACCTAATTTTCAAACCCATAATTAATTAGGAGAGACTAGAACTTCGCTTAGCTGTTTACTACCCTTCAAATAAAATCTCTCAATTAAACACGTCAATTATCAAAAATTTCCACCAATATTTTAGACCAATATTATTGCATCTTTTGGCACATCAATTTAGCCATATGTTGCATCAAATTTCCAACTAAAGACAAAATTAACACCCAAAATACTAAAACTTCTATAGTACCAAATCAAAATTCACAACTTCTTCCTCATTTCACAATAACAATGGCATCTTCTTCTTCAATCCTCCTCTTCCTTGTCTCACTCATCACCGCCGTTGCCGCCATTAATGACAATCTATCAGCCTACGAAGCCTTGGAACCTTCAATTTTCCAATGGGTATTCTTCCAAAAGGTGCTTTAGGGTATGAATTGAACGAAAAAACAGGAAGTTTCAAGGCGTTTTTAAATGGGAGTTGTAGTTTTTCATTAGAAGGGTCTTATCAGCTGAAATATAAGCCTACAATTAGTGGGTTTATCTCAAAAAACAAGCTTACTAAACTTACTGGGGTTAGTGTTAAGGTTTTCTTCGTTTGGTTGAATATTGTTGAAGTTAGAAGGGCTGATGATGAACTTGAGTTTTCTGTTGGAATTGCTTCTGCTAATTTCCCTATTGATAATTTCGAGGAGTGCCCGCAATGTGGGTGTGGATTAGATTGCGTCAATCATGTTGAAGATGATCAGGTTAGGGTGATTAATGATGATATTAGGTCTTCTGTTTCTTCGATTTGAGGGTTTTAATTTGTGGGTTTGTTTTGTTTTGGGTTAATTTTAATGGTTTTTTTTTTGCCTTTTGTTGTTGGATCTTGCTGTGATTAAGCAAGAAAGATTTAAATTAACCCTTGTTGTATGTAAATTTGGACAACGAGAAATTATGATCATAAATCTGTTTTGCTTTAATTTTGTGCAGTTTTTAATGGTTGGTTGACTTCATACTTTGTGAATGTGTTTATCAATTGCTACTTTGTTAGTACTGAATTACCAATTGGTACTTGGATTAGTTGGTAAGCGGCTGTTTGGTGAGCTTCCCCCGGTTTGTTTCCGAATTAGTCGGAGTCTAGTAGGCTTATGTTGTACGTTTCTACAAATAATCCTTTTGTTAATAAAGAAACAGGAATGATGTCAAACCTTTTATCAAAAGATGTTGTGATGCTGTTTGATGTTTTTTAATCATGAAACTTATTAAAATATGATTGGGTTTGATTGAATTGTTGAGTAATCTCTCTGCTATTGAGGAATAGGAGTAGGAAACTATTTCTGTTCAGCTACAAATTAACTTTTTTGTAGATGAAGGAACAAGATTGATACTGTTTAAATCTTGAATGAAAGTTTATTTTGTGCTGTTTCTGATGTTCTTGATGGTTGTAGACTTGGAGGGGGAGCGGGATAAGGGTTACTGCTTTCACCTCGTAAGAAATTGTAATTAGCTATCAATTGCGCAAGTTTGCTGGGAGGATTAGACATTTGTGAGAGTATCTTTTTCTCCTGGAGGATCAGATTGTTGATAAATCTGATCTTAACCTGCTGTCACTTCTTTGGGTTTGGAGGATGTTCTTTGGTTGGAAGTACAGATTCTTTGGAAGCAAGACTTTAATCCTTATAATCTTGCAGTTAGTTAGTACTCGCTGTAGAAAAAGATGGAGATGATGCTAGGTATTTGGAAAAAGTCTGATTCCTCAAAACGGAGGGCGTAGCTTACTTAGTCTTTCTTATGCTTGAAAAGGAAATTTTCAAAGTTTTTAGAGTGTTCTTAGATTACAAATAAATATTATAGACCTGTACACTACTTATAGATAGAAATTAAGTATGGAGGAGAAGTATGTTTTATGGAGAAAGGGCTACAGCAAGCAAGCTGTCCCCTTCCTTTGTTGTAGGCCGCACCTTGCCTTACCGCAGCACTGAATGAAATGAGTGGAGGATGGGATTTCTCAGTCATATGAGACCAAAGTCACTACACTTCATACAAATCTACGTCCATTTTTTTTTGGAAGTTTGTAAAGGGATAATCAAGAATGATAGGCTTAAAGATTTGTAGTGGCGAATGAAAGGCTTGTTACTTGATGTTTCTTCTTCATCTTGCGGCTTTACTTCATGAGGTCAAATAATTTTTCCAAACAAAATATGCAGTTGGCAAGGGGTTTAAATATGTTTTATGGAGTTGGTTGGTGCTATTACTTATAAGCTTGCTTTCACTTCCCCCACCCAATTCCCTTCCATCCTTGAAGCAGTTTCTTAGGCTTTATTGGGTGGAGAAATAAGGTTTATGTGTTTAATTTTTGGTGGTTAAGGCGTATCTTTAGTCAGGATCTCATTTGATATCCCTCATTCATTTTCTTCCTTGTTTAGCTTGTTCATCCAATAAGATTATCTTCGTTTAAAGATAGGTCGTTGGTGGTTGGTGCTTAATTTTGTTGAGATCACTTGCTTTTACGCTTCATTAGTTTCTGTAGACAAGTTGGGCATTGCATCTAAGTTTTGCATCTTCACCTTTCCCCTTCTTGATTTACTGTAGTGTGTGTGGTGGGTCTGCTTATTTGAGGATGTTTGCTATCGTTGGGAGTATCAGTGGCTATTTGGATTTAGCTTCCTTTAGATGTAGTAGATTTAGTTCTAATGTAATGAACCTTGCTTTGAGTTAATGGAGCTACTAGTATTATTATATTTGAATAAGGGGAAAGCGAGGAATTCAATTTTCTTTGTTTGGAGATCCACTCCACCACCTTTTTTCCGTTGTTAGAAAGATTTGGAAGGAAAGTGCAAGTCATTCCCTTCAATTCCCTCACCTTCCTTTTTCCTTTCTCTCGCTTTCCCCTACCTTGCCCCCCTTTCCTCCCTTTTCTTCCATGATAGCCATCTAAACACACTTAAGGTACTACATTTCCTTCTTTGCCCTTGCATCAATGATTTTGTTCTTGGCATAGTATCTCAGTTACTATAAGAGCTTATGGAGCTACAGGTTGTTTAGCTGGCGCTTAATAATTAATGTTTCCAATTTTCCTTGGTCTCATTGTGGAGGTTTAAGTGGTCAATATAAAGGTGTTTATCCTAGATGATGAAGCTGTGTTAAGCTAGTTAATCTCAATTGTATACAGGAGCTTTAGATTTTGACTAATACATCACATGGGCCTGTAGCACTTTTGCAACTACTACCTGTTTAGTTCTTCAATGTTGGAGTTTCAATTTTTCTTTCATAAGACGCTTCAACCATTTAGCTTTTCAGTCTTCAATCCTATAGAGGTTTCAGACTTAAAACTGTAAGCATTTGGGGTGTCAATCCAATTGGTGTATCACCGTATCAGGGATAGGTCGACTCAGCCTGTGTTTTCCTGTTAACATTTTTTTAATTCTGCTCTTTAGTTGCCTCAATCCAAGGCGTTTGAAGTTGTTGGCTTTGCCCATCCTTAAATAATGGACTCTTAATTATCCAGGAATTACATCTGTAGAATGTATAGAGCATACATTATAGTATGTGAGCAATGGATTATTCCGAGTGTAAGTTGCAGGTGAATTTGGTTGGCCTAACATTCTAGGAAAACACAGCAGGGAGTTGAACATTTGTTTCAATTAATCATGTGTTTGTTGTATGAAGTTTTTGTGTGATTCTTGCTAGTTGCAAAAAATCCCATGTCTTTCCACAACTGAAGTTACTTTGAAAAATCTTTGCTACTTTGTTCAGCTTCCCCTCCTTTATGTTCCAAAACTATTCCGCATGTGTTGTCTGTTGCAAAGGATTCAGATTTTGATGCCCTTATAGAAGGTCTGATTCTGCTGTTCCAGAATATTAATACTAATTAGATTTGTCAAATGTATGAGGTGTTGCTTGTACTCTGGTAGTAGTTTACGAGCTACGTATAATGATAACATGCTGATCTTGTTGCACACCCGAGTTTTCATCTTATTCTACTCTCTTGGCTGTGAGGAAAGAGATCGCAAACTTGGGGCATAGATATATACTTCCCAATGTGATCGAATGGTTGGAAAAACATAAGCCTGAATACATGAGACTGGCTAGTGGCTATTTAACGGCCAGCAGGTTCCATGTGCTGCTGCTGCTGCTGCTGTAATTACATTGTCAGCAGCTGGAATGATGAACCGTTGCATGAAATTGTTTTAGGGATACAGACATACAGTATATGGTTATTAGCACAATCAGTCTTGAAATGAGTTTCAACTACAAAAGGTAAATGATGTAAACTACATTTGATTTAATGTCTTATGTTCTATGGAGTACTCATCAATAAGCCTTTAATCAAGTTAGCTAGTTAGCATGGACAGATTAGGTCAATTGTGAATTAGATTATGATTCGGGGTGAAAGTTAGTTGGATAAAATTTAAAGTCCTATCCAATCCTAGCCAGATTATTTTTTTAAATTCGTTTTTAAAGATATTTTTAACTTAAATTGGATTGAGGATACTGGGAAAAAATTGGAAATATAATTGATAGGTCAATGTTGGGCACTTGGGCATGTAAAGGTTATCGGATAAATACAAACTACTTAGGGGTTGTTTGGCAATCGGCTGTTGACTTATTTGCTTGGCTTGTTTGACTACCTGAACTATTAGGTGTATGAATTGGCTTTTAAAGTTAGTTGTTTAACCAACTGTTTACAAAAGTGTTTGGTAAAATAATTTGTGGTTATTAGTTGTTTATTAGCGATAAAGTGGGCCAACAAGCTAAAAGCCAACAGAAAAGCTATTCATATTAGCTTTTGACGGAAAAATAGCTTAAAAATTAACAAAAAAAAAAACCACTACCCAACATATTTTTTAGTAGTTTGACCAAACTAAAAATCCAAAAGCTAGAGGAAAAAAAAATAAAAAATTAATTGTTAGTTTGTCATACACGCCCCCTTAGGGCCTGTTCTGATTGATTGAACTGAACTGAACTTATTGGAGCAAAGATGAATTAAACTGAACTTGTTGAAGCAGAGTTGAACTAAAAATAACCCGAAGAGAACAGACCACTAGTCTTAGAAATGGATTAAACTGGGTGAAATGTCGAATTGGATTCGACTTTATCCAAATTTTTGAAGGTCAATTTCGATATTTTGACATTCTATATTGTTGTAATTAAGGGTGCAATCTATATCAACTTTGGGTCGGGCAATTCATTTGAAGTAGGTGACTACGATCAGTTTTTCTTTAGTACCTAATTATAAATGTTGAAGAAATAATTGAACACAATTAAGCTAATCTTCTTGTCAAGTGTCAACGGTTTAATATGAGATGCATCTTTTGAGATTGCTTTTAGAAATTATGGCAATCTAAGTACTAATCTTTGCGTGAGACAAAATAATTGTAGTCCCTAAAAAAAGGAAATAAAGACAAGATAATTGTAGTGTGATGTTTGGAGTTTGGGAAAGACAAAATAATGGAGATAGTATTAATTCAACCTAGAAAAGCATAAGCCATGTTACTATGTTAGCCACTGTACTGTAATGTTGTGTTTCCTGGCTGCTAAGAAAGAACAGGACAAATACAAGTATCTAATTATTGATTACACTAAGTTTTTGAACAAATATCTAGTGTAAATAATTAGGATATCGTTAGATACAAAGAAGTACTAAAAGTCTAAAATAGTCACTACCTTCATACTTTTTCCCAAACTACCAGCCCGGGCACTCTTCGGGTATTTGATACTACAATACTTGGTTGTTTTTACCTGTTTAATTTGACTAACTACTAAATTGACCCACTTTTATTCATGACTATTTAATCAAATACAACGTGGTCGTTGTAACTTGTACTCGTAATGCTAAATTCTAGAACAATTGGAAGAAACGGCCTAAGCCTTGTGTTGATATTCACGACAACATATATAGGGCAATACAAAGGAGACCCGACTTGCCTAAAACTCCTAAAAGATATATACATGCCAAAAATACATATTAACATAAACCAACCGACTTATATAACTCCTCCTCAAGTTGGTGCATACAAATCATGAATGCCCAACTTACATAACAAAAACCCAAATTGTTATCGTCCAAGAGCCTTTGTAAGAATATTTGTCTACTCATGATGCGTCAAAACATATGAAGTAGAAATATTACCCTTCAACAACTCATCACGAACTAACTGACAATCTACCTCAATATGCTTCGTACGATCATGAAACACTGGATTCTTAGCAATATGCCAAGGCCGACTGACTATCACGAACAACTGCATAGACTTTGTACAACTAACTCCAAGAAAAAACAACAATGCCTTCAACCATTTCAACTCGCAAGTATGCAACTGCCATGGAACGATATTCGGCTTTGGCCGAGGAACGAGAGACAATAAGTTGTTTCTTAGTCTTCTAAGAAATAGGCGAGTGACCTAAAAACACAAGATAACCTGTCAAAGAACGCCGAGTCAAAGGACACGCCGCCCAATCACTATCACAAAACATCGTCAATCGTAAATCCTTCATAAATAGCAACAAGATGTCTTGTCCTGGACTAGGCTTAAGGTAGCGCAAGACATGAATAACCGCGTCCCAAGAGAAACCTGCGGATCACTTAAAACCTGAGCCAAAGCATGCACCGAATAACTCAACTCTAGTAGAGTAACTGACAAATAAATCAATCGTCCAACCAATCGACGATACTGATCCGTATGAGCAAACGACTCACCCGAAGTATGTGTAAGACTACGATTCTGCTCCATTGGAGTATTAGTGAGTTTGCAACCCAACATACCTGCCTCAGTCAAGATATCCAAAGCGTACTTTTGTTGAGAATTCGTTGAGAAAGATACCTCCTGACTATGAGCAACCACAATGCCTAAAAAATACTTAAGCGCCCCAATCCTTCATATAAAAGCATTTGCACAAATAGGCTTTAAACCTCACAATGGCATCATGAGAGGCCCTGTAATGATCAAATCATCGACATAGACAACATGTAAAGATACACTTCCCTGTACATAGCTAAATAGAAAGTAATCAGAATATGAGTTTTAAAACCCAAAATCTTGTAGAGCACTAGACAGCTTTGAAAACCACTGCCTTGGGGCTTGTTTCAAGCTATATAAAGGCTTCCGCAACCTGCAAACTTTACAGGTATCGGAATGTGTGTACCCTGGAGGAAATTGCATATATACCACTTTATCCAAATCATCATGAAGAAATGCATTATGAACATCAATCTGATGTAACTTCCAATGTAAAGACACAACAACAATTAGAAAGAGACGTATCGTACCCATTTTTGCAATAGGAGCAAACGTCTCATTATGATTAACCCCGGCAACCTGTCGATTGCCACGAACAACCAAACGAGCCTTAAGACGTTCACTTTCGACTTGTTTGTGTATTTGATTTTATACACCCAGCCACTACCAATTGCCTTTTTACCAAGAAGAAGATCCTCAACTGTCTATGTGCCATTACGCCAATCGATGTCTTTAACCGCATCTTTGAACGAAGACGATTCCTTTCCCTTAGTGATCGTCACCAAAAAACCTGTGTCTTATAGAAAAACAACTATAATCACAATGACAAGATACACAGGAAAAAGGTTTACCAGAAGAACGAGATTGAGGACAGACGATAGTTGATGTAGCAGGGTCAATATTTTCAGTGATTACAGTGTTCGTAACACAATGATGATGCGACGAAGGAAGACGTTTCTCTCATTGACCTCTATCCAAATTATGGTGGTGGCGTATTTCGCATTGAAGGCAGTGGGTACCAAACCACAGCACAACCGAAGGACGGGTCTTTGATTTAAGTATGACGAATTTGTTTCAGGGAAGTTCTTAATTTGTCTATTTTTTATTTCCGGACTCAACATGTATATTTTTTTCTAACATCTTTTAAGGTATAAGTACATTATAAAATTTCGCTCTTCCAACCTTTAGCATTGACCAAAGTTCAACCAAGGGGATGCTCCCAACCCCAAGAGTATGTTGCGATGTTGCCCCTCCAAAAGTCAACATTAGTTGATGAGCAGTCCCAAGACAATTTCTTCATACATATGCAAGGATTTGTTTGACTTTTTTCTTCTCGAATTTATGATAGTTTGAAAATAAAAAAAATCAAAAATATGAAATAAGAAAAATGTGTTTTTACTTTTAATTGTCAAGTTTTAAAATTATCATAATTTTAATATATTTGACCAATTTTAAATTCATATTATGACATATATCATTCCTACTTCAAATTTAATTTTTACATATACTCTCTTTATCTAGAATACAATACAAATTTAATATTATCTCGTTAAATGTTATGGTGCAACTTTGGAGTATAAATTGTGAGATATAAAATATTCCAAAATTGCATATAACATTTTACGAAGGTAGTATATATTTTTTATAACGAGGGAGTATTTATTTTAAGCGAGCTACTCCATTTATTCTTGAATTTTTTGACATGTAAACTTTTGCATTTTTATTCATCAAACATCTTTAACCTATACAAATTCTTTTTTGGTGTATTAAATTTTTTTACGCATATATTTTTTTTAGAGAAAAATTAAATTTTATATTGGCAAATATAAAATAAAAAACAAATTAATAAATTAAAACAGATAAAGTAATAAACATATACTTCCTCCGTTTTTCTTTTATTGCACCATAAGGACTTTTACATTATTCACTTAATTTCTTTGATATCGTTTGTGATTTATCCATTAAGAAAAACATATTAATGTGAGATCTAGTTAGATTCGTCTCAAAAATTTACTTTTCAAATATCAAATTTTTATAATTTTTACAAAGTAATGCATTGAGAAGCGTAAAATTCCTTATGCAATAAAGAAAGAATGGAGGAAGTACAACAAGTAATACATAATGTTTGCATAGTCCCGGCAAGCTGTCAATTGTCAACTACTCGTATAAAGGGAAAATTGGTACACGTCTACTCTATAGCTATTATTTTATTCCTGCCAAATTATTAGATGAGTAATTAAAATAGATTATCTATGATTGATTCACTTAATTTGGCCTAATTTAAAATAGTACTACGTAGTATATATTTGATTTATTGAGAAGTGAGATGAACGGTGTTGTAATGATTCATGAATCATTATCCATAACTTATGAAATTCTTGGACATCAGGAATATTTTTAGGCAATTGTTGCATTATATGATAAGAAATATGCTTGTAAAACATAATTGTATGATATGTTTCGTCATTGGTATGAACATTATAAGAAAGGAAATAACTAATTGAGTGGGTTTTATTCTGTTATGTAGAATATAGATATAGACATATAGTATTAGTTCCTTCAATTATACTACCTAATATTCCGCCCTATCCATAATTGTAATGCTACTCCTTCCGTTTTTTAAATACTAGCTTCACTTTTCTTTTCCGGCTGTTTTTAAATACTTGCTCCATTTCCCTATTTGGAAAGCTTTGACAATATTTAATTAATTCCTCTCACCTAGTGGACCCAACAATATTAATTTCATACTCTATCTCCTTCAATTATCTCTACTACTTTTGTTTTTTTACAATTTTTCCTCTTCCACCAACCCCATTACCTCCTTATTTTATTATTTTCTCCAATTTCTCCTAAAACTCCGCGCATGGAGAAATGGAGCAAAATATTTAAAAACGGAGGGAGTATTATTTATTTATTTTTTTGTTGTTCTACTCGGTTCACCCTTTG